TTTAAATAATATCATTCTATATTAATTATGTCTAACATAACTCTTGACAAAATTAATTTAACCAAAGAAATATATAAGGTTGTCTATAGACAACAAGTTTATCTATAATGACTTCTAGACATTCTAAATCAGATTTTTTCAGTCATTCAATATTAGATCTATTGGACGAAAAGCCTTGCATGCATGTTTCTTATATTGGAATAAACTGGTCTAATATACCAGAGTTGAATTTTATTTGATAGATGCAGACTATATTAGTTGCGAACTATGTATTATTGAAACTGAAATGAAATATACACCTGGAAAAAGCAAATAATATTGTGTCAGGAGATTATCATAAGCAGTTGAGTTTGTGTGGCATAGTAATAGTGCTAACCCGCCTAAACTAGCCATCAGTATAAATATGTGATATTGTTATTTGCAGATATATAGAAGTTGACTTAGCGCTGACCTGCCTGCATAATGCAGGCTAGCTATCAGGATAAGTGTATGTTATTGAAATTCACCGAGTGACTGGTATAATAGGTTCCAAGAGCACAGGTATGATCCCTAGATACTTGCCTTTTTAGTAGCACATGCCTCAATTGTGTCATTTACTTCGTATATTGTGAGAAATGTGAGAAATGGCCTTCTTTTTCTCAAATTGATGTAATTACCCAAAGGTTTTTTGTGGCTTAGCTTAGTTTACTGCCTGGCTTTAAACATAAAACATACAATTCTATTAGATGTGGTTAATATAAGCCACCACCTTTGTGGCTTGAGGTTACATGACTACCTGGCTTTAGACAATCCCCAAAAGTGTACTTGTTAATTGTGTAAACACTATATAAGTGATATTTTTTGTCCCCAAAATAAAAGTAAGCTCTTAGTTTCAAAAGTTCCAAATTAAAGAAATTAGAGAAGAGTATTTAACTTACTGAATCTCCTATTGTACTATAGTGTAAAATTGTCTCTATAAGTAAATCATAAATTATCGAAGAGAAAGAGAAAGATAAAATTTACTCAAATCTCTAATTCGATTGCTTTTATAGGATCTTTATAGATTATCTCCATGATCAATTAAGAGTTACTTAATTGTTTCATTGCATATTAGTAATAAACTGATACTTGTAACTCATACCACATGAAACTATGAATTCCAGTAATTCGAACCAGAGTTGAAATACCATAGTAATTTGCCGGCTATCCAAAAAGTATCAATATTGATCTGGTATATTTATAATATATTTTTATTCAATAGTGATGTGTCACAAAAGATACTTTAAATAATAAGCATCGATGCAGTAAATGGCTAGTAAATCACTATAGTATTTTTAACCCTGATTCGAACCCAGAAGCAAGAAACAAGTAGTAAACGATAGTTAGTAAGAAAATTAGAGTACTATATCACTAGTGTAGAATAAAAAGTATAAGATACTTATAAATTAAAGAGAACTCGAGGCTCAAGGAATACATACTGTATATATAAAAAAAAAATTAGAAATAAAAATAACTAAACAAATAAATAAGTAATAAAAAATTAATAGAATAAATTATTAATTAAAAAAAAAAATTTAAATAAATAAATTAAAGAGAACTCAAGGCTTGAGGAATAAGCTTAAAATGGATCCCAATCCCTTAGATCAAACTCATCCACACCTTTATCGAAGTGCATTATTGATTAGAATAGTTTAGTGTTAAAGTATAGTATAGCTTTAGTGTGTAGATAGTTTAGTTAGTGTTACTTACCCGGAAAGTTTAGTTAACATTCTTGTGAGTGAGGGTTGGGTCACAAATTGTGGTCTGTTACATTCTAGTTCAGAAATCCGGAACAAGTAGTTCTGGACTGACAATTACAGATGCACCGACTACTTCGTCTCAAGAAGCCCCACAAAATACCAAAGAGCATAAATTACACCAACTTTCTTCTGAAGCAATAGAAAAATTGAAAGATCCACAATTTTTGCTCTTGTTGTGATCATTTTTATGTAGCCAATTTTTAGATAGTGATGATGCTGATTATGTTTTAAAAGATTTTATTAATATATATCAAGAACAGAATGGCAAAATTACAATTGAGATTTGGAAAACTTGTAAAAGATTAATATTAAATCTATCTTAGAATTATTATGATGATTTGTATACTATATAGTTTAAAAATATTTAAATTATAAGATAGTAATAAGAATATTTTTATTAATTAATATATTACCCAAAAAATGTATTATTATTTCTATATGAATAAAATGCTCTTTGTGCATTAATTATGCTATGTATTGCTATGTATTAATTGTAAGCAATTGTTGGCATAAGGCCAACTTACATTTTCTACAGATTTATCTTTATTCTCATTGCCATCTTAAGTTAGTGTATTACTATATGTAGAAAGTCATTCAAATTATATTTATCAAGCCGGACTTGTTCTGGTTGATAGTTCCACAATATGCATCACAATGCTTAGAATCTTTTTATTCTGTTGACTTTATGTCAACTCGAATAAATTCTATTTTCTTCAGTTTTTTTACTTTTGCTATACTTCGTTACAAGTTTCGTCATTTCATTATTCAACACAAATTTCATCATTCATACTTTGTCATTTATAATTCATTAATTCAATATTGCCTGATAAAGCCATTTCGGTAATGAAAACTTTCGTCATTCATTAAACATTATATTTTATATACTTAATATTTTGTATCATAATAATTTAATTCTCTAAAATCTCATAAACTCTATATGCTTACATGTATATATTTAAATTATAATTATGTCATTTTATATACTTACACATTAGATAACTTTGTTCTATATGTATGATAGCTTAATTATTTAACTTTCAAGTTTAAAGCTTAATTAGAACTTGAATAATTATTGTTAAATAATGTTATTTTAT